TAAAGAGTAAGAATGTGTGGAATTAATAATACGGGGGTAGGGTCTATATAAGGTCGGGTTTTGGAAAATATCTTTAAAAAACGTACTTCCGCTTCTGTTAGGTACACAAGTGTGTGTGTGTGTGTGTGTGTGTGAGTGAATTTGATTGATTGACTGGTTCGTTTTCTACGGCTTAATCACCTTCCAGGTTATTTAAAGCCAGAAAATTATTTTCAAATTGTAAGAATTATTTTATTTGGGGTAGGGCGGATAATTAGTCTTACTAATTAACCCATAGCTGGGGAGGGAGAAGAGGTGGATTTATACCCCTTTCCCAAAGATATTTGCACCTAAGTGAATATAGCGAACCCGACAGGAATTAGCACTGTGCTCTCTGATTAACAATTCTGATGCCGTTATCAATTACACCATTCGTACATAAGCTTACAGCGATTACCCATAACCGGCTCGACGTTGCTTAACTTAGCTGACCAAACGGGAACCGTGTATAAATTTGCAAAGGTACGTAAAATTTGAATTTGAAAGGGTACGTAAAATTTGATTTTGAAAGGGTAGGTAAAATTTGAATTTGTAAGAGTAGATAAAATTTGATATTCAAAAGGTACATAAATTTTGAATTTGAAAGGGTACGTAAAATTTGATCGTTAAAGGGAAAGTAAAATTTGAATTTGAAGGGTACGTTAAATTTGATATTGAAAGGGTACATAAATTTTGAATTTGAAAGGGTACGTAAAATTTGACATTGAAAGGATAGATAAAATTTGATATTGAAAGGGTACATAAATTTTGAATTTGAAAGGGTACGTAAAATTTGACATTGAAAAGATAGATAAAATTTGATATTGAAAGGGTACATAAATTTTAAATTTGAAAGGGTACGTAAAATTTGACATTGAAAGGGTAGATAAAATTTGATATTGAAAGGGTACATAAATTTTAAATTTGAACGAGTACGTAACATTTGATTTTGAAAGGGTACGTAAAATTTGATTTTGAAAAGGTAGGTAAAATTTGAATTTGAAATGGTACATAAAGTTTGAATTTGAAAGGGTACGAAAAATTTGATATAGAAATGGAAAGTAAAATTCTAATTTAAGGGTACGTATAGTTTGTTTTTGAAAGGGTAGGTTAAATTTGAATTTGAAAGGGTACGTAAAATTTGATACTGAAGCGGTACATAAAATTTGAATTTGAAACGGTACGTAAAATTTGATATTGAAAGGGTACATAGATTTTGAATTTGAACGCGGACATAAAATTTGAATATGAATGGGTGCATAAAACCAAACAAAACTACATCACTAACAATAACAGCAAAAAGAGACCCTCCCCTAAAAAAATGCAGGTGTGTGTATTTGGGGATCTGGATAGATTTACCGATTTCATGCATATATATCATAAAGCATATATAGATGTGCATGCCTATATATATGTGCATGTGTTTATGCGTTTGTGTGTGTACGTGCATGTGTGTGCGCGTGAGAGAGAGAGAGAGAGAGAGAGAGACTGGATGTGTAATTATTCGCATAAGTAACAGTAAGAGAGAAAAAGTGAGTGTGTCTATCAGACGGAGAGAGAAACAGCGTGTACGTGTGTGCGTGCAAGAATGAGAGATATAATGTGTGTACGTGAGTAAGAAAGAGAGAGAAAGAGCGTAACTGTATGTGTGGAATTTATGTTGGGATTGTTGAGTTTACATCATAGCAACTCTGATTTATTTAATGAGCGTGTAAGAAGAGAGAGACTGTATATGCATATTTGTAAAATTAGAAAGAATAAGAAAACAGAGAGAGAGAGAGAGAGAAAAGGTGTATATACATATGAGCGTAAGAAAAAGAGAGAAAGATAGAATGTGTGTGTAAGAAAAAGAGAAAGAAAGAAAGAGTGTGTAAGAAAGAAAGAGAGAAGAGGTGTAGATACATATGAACGTAGTCAAAAAGAGAGAGAATGTGTGTGTAGTTAAAAGAGAGAGAAAGTGCATATGCATATTTGTGTAAGAAAAAGCGGGAAAGAAAGTGTAAGAAAGAGAGAGAAAAGGTGTATATATATGAGCGTAGGAAAAAGAGAGAATATGTGTGTAAGAAAAAGAGAGAGAGAGAGTGTATATGCATATTAGCGTAAGGAAAAGAGAGAAAGAGAGACTGTGTGTGTAAGAAAGAGAAAAGGTGTATATGCATATGAGCGTAAGAAAGAGAGAGGGAGAGAGTGTAAGAAAGACAGTTGATTGGTTGCTTTGTTTAGCGGCATAATAACATCTTTATGGGTTATTTAATGACGAAATCTAAATATTATGTATGCAATTTTCTTTGTGGAGATAATAATGCTGTTAGTACTACAAGTCTTACTAATTAACCCATAACTGGGGGCGAAGAGGTGGATTCATGACTTTCCCAAAAGTATTTGCGCGTAAGTGAATATTACGAATCCGACAGGAAGTGGAACTCGGCTCTCCGATTAACAATTACGAGCTCTTATCCATTACACCACCCGCACATCCAAG